ATGCCTAGATACGCGTTCGGGCAGAAGCACCGTGTGTAACAGCCTGTTTAAGATTCAGCGTGATCCCAGTGGGGTAGCTGCTTGTCTATAGCTCTGTAGCATCTATTGGCGACTGCATTTAACCTAAGCCCTCGTTGATTATCTGCATACGGGAAGTGAGCAGTTCACTGGACTGCAGCTGTTCAGCTAGGCTGCATTGCTAGCATGCCTACTCAGCTTGCAGCCTTCCTGGCTTATGGTCGTTCAATAAAAGCGCTACGCAATGCCTTACGACGTGAGGTTATTAACTTTAAAGCTGCTGTAGGTCATTTGATTAAATAAAACGGACCCTTTTGTCTATTTTACTGACTTTTACTATTATTGAGACCTGATAACCTGGCTGAAACAATCAGCCTCCTCTGACTGCGTTTCTTAGGTTGGTAGCCTGGTGGTATTTACAAGACTACCAACCAATCTCTCTGAGCCAAGCAGCGATATAGAAATGCGTTAAGCTTGAAAGATATTTGCTGTCTTAAATCCACCAGTCCCAACACTGTTATTGATGCCTGCCGAGTATCATGCCCTGGGGAGTAAGACTCACAATCCACTGTCTTCTGTTTGGTATTGATAATTTGATATGTCGTGCAGCTTTTTTAAAAATGTCATTCACCAGCAAGTTTGTTTAACTTGCCGCTTTAGTGGGTGTCTCAAATGTGTCCCTACTTTTCTCGGTCTGACTGATGCTCCTTCCTCCATCACTTCATCCTGTTCCTTCTCTCTCCCTGTGTTAACAGGAAGGAACGTGGTTTGGACGACTTCAACGATGACCCCAGGGGGAGCCGCAGTGATCTGGTCTCATCACCTTTGACCTCTCAGCTTGATATTCCTCTTGCCGTACTCAAAATCGAAGGAAGATCTTTAATTTAGTTTGCATTTTCACTTTCTTGCAGAAGTCCCTCAGAAATAGGAGCGGTCTCTGTCTGAACATTGTTTTAGTTTATCACTCTCGTTTTTTGATGTGCCTCTTTTTCACCAGAGTCAGCCTACTTGTGTGCTTTGAACCCAGCTCAGATATTGAAGACTCTTGTTTTTTTTTTTTAGAACCTTTGCGGTTCTCTATGGACAAACCTGCTGTTTTTTTGCGTTCAGCGGGAACCAACCTGGTTGAGGTCCACAAAGCAGTAATTTAGTTTCAGTGTCTGTATCACCTTGTTGTTCCTCAACTTTTCCTAACATTTGCAGCCATTTTGTACGGAACGTAAAACAACTGTTTCTCTACCTGTACTGCTGAGGTTACTCCACAAAGAGCAATGTAAGTTATAATCCACACACACAACACACACGTGTACAGTATGCAGGAAGAGACATCATTCATCTGCACTGATGTGGTATGAACGTTGGCCTATAACATGACATATATTTATAGGCTACCCTAGCGCACGGGTTTCTTGGATTAGATTTGTTAGCATATACCGCAGCACCACTGCACACTACAACTTCGATATAATTGAACAGTGATGGAACCCCTGCGTCAATCCAAAGTGATCGTGCTAGTATCCATCTCGTCCCTTTGTACACGAGCAGCACTCACCATTCAAATATGGTTGAGCTGCTGCATTGTGTTGCCAATTAAGAAGGATTACAGGGGACGCTAAAGAGCGTTTAAATCCCCGCTACTTAATGAAGCTTATTATGACATAATACAAGTACGATATAAAAATACATTACTCATAACTTTAATTAATTACATATGTATGAAAAAATGAGCTAACTCACTTTACAGCTTCTTTGATGAATCGGACCTGAAGGTGAATCACACATCTGGGAGTGAAACACAAATAATGTGGTGTGTTTTTGTGCTGTGTGTGTCAGTCTCTGAACCAGGGGTTGCTTGTAAGGGACAAGAATTGTCCTTCGAGTGAAACCACCAAAACATGAATTCAGAGGACATTAAAGGGTCCAGAATTACTCTCTTCTATCGGATGACGGCACATCCGCGGACTTACAGGTTATAGACATCACACTCGCTGCATTTCTACTTTGTACATTGTTTTGGTCTTGGCGCGTAATATTCTGTTACCATTTATTTGTGTTTCTGTTTGCTCTCACTGTCAACGTATATAGAAGTTTTTTGATGCTTGGCTCATGTCAATTGCGCATAAATAAACTGTCAACACATAACCAAATCATATGCTTAATCTTTTATGGCAGCATAATAAAGAGGTGTGGGTTTAGAAATGTACGTTTATTTCTGGTCTTTCGTACTACATTTCACATCCCACTTATTATTTATATATGCACCTACTTGCAATATCTTTGCCTATTGAGTCCTCTATAAAGCACTAATATTAAAACCTCTTGCAGTACATATTGCGGTGCAATCATCAATACATAGAAAAGTTCAGAAATTCACTGTATGGGACTGCCAGGGGTATATATCAATTAGTGGGGCCATGTATTAGAACCCTGATGACAGCTATAAATTTAACTCATCCTTCAGAAGGGACAGACGTGTTTGGGTCCGTTTTTTTTAGGATACTTCAAATCATAGGTCTGAGCCTAGTAAACTACCTCTATTGACAAGTTAACATCAATGACGTTCGAAATAGAAAAGACCGGAAAGCAGTGATCATTAAAAAAACCTTCTCAATCTGACATTTGAATGGCAATAAAAGTATATGAATTCTAACATTATTAAATAGCTTATAAGAATGCCACAGCTGTTACCGCCTTGTTACAGGGTTGAACTTCTGCTAGTGTCAGATGAATTTCGCTCTTACGTGGTGCTGAATCACCAACCAGCCCCCAATGACTTGCTATAAAAGTCATCCTCTCTGCACGCTTGTGGTCTGCTACGTAGCCGGAGCCACTGACACCAGCTTACCACAGACAGCGGACTGAGATAGCCTCTCCAGGAACCGCTACTCTGCTAATAGTAACACAGTAGGCCACAAACTATTTACAATACGTCCATGAATAAGATGATTCTACTTGTAGTTATTAAGTGAGTTATTTTAAGCCACATATAAGTTTTGTGATACCTTAACTGGTCAGATTTTGTTCCGCAGCGGCCACGAAGACATAGGCTCTGACGCGGACGTGGTCCCTGTGGAACGTCGTCCAAGCGCCGGTCAATTCCTGTTCCTCTCGTTTGCCGGAAAGCAGGATTTTTGTTACTGTCATGAGCCTCAACCGCTTTCCCAGACAGCATACGAGACCACCAAGAGACATATTTTGGACCGAGAAAATCGCACACAACATTAACCTGATTGAAACCAGACTCCACTCACGAGTGTATCACCACACACGTTTCTTTCCGAAAATTAATATAATATGTTAAAGAATTTTTAGGTTGGTAAAATTAAACAGTTTTGGAGAGCTTGGAAGTATAGGGTCGCTCTCCTGGTGTTAAGACGATTTAAATAGGCAAGCCCTTAACAGCTTTGATATTATATGTAAAAATAACAATAAACATGCTCTCACTTACCACTACATGCAGACATAATTAATTTGGTCTGATGTCAGCTTATGATGTAAACACAACCAAATTCAACCCGCGCTCACCAACTGTGAAGGCGCCAAAATTGCGAGACTAGTGCGAATACAGTCAGTGTTAGCTGTCATTTATAGTTGTGCACTACCAGAGGTACTGAATGAGTAGCTGTGTATTAAGCGGACCCTATTCAGGAATGTGAAGTGTCGTGGATTCTATGTAATTAGTTATGCTGTTTAATGACGACACCCCTTGTTTCCCAGTGAAGACCCACAGTACCCAAGAACAAGAAAGTCAAGGTATTAACAGACACAGGTGACTGACACAACGAATCTCCGGGCTCTGGACGCCCAGCCTAGAGTCCATGCGTGCGGGGCGGGGGGCGACAAGGGTTCGAGGTCCGACCTGTTGGCCCTTAGCTATGAGTCGATTCCCTGGCGGTCTCCTTCCGTTCTAGTCTTCAGGGCCACTGTCCTAGCTCTAGGTACCATTAAAAAGTGAGGGCGAAGAAAGGGAGTGACACTAACTAATAAAAAAAAAATCTTCCTCCTATCCAGCTCAAAGTAACTATAGCTGGAGAAGGAGCCACAGTGTTATATAAGTGACTGAGGGCGGGTTTTATTTAATTATTGTCTTTCTACTTTGTTTCTTATGTGGATAAATGGAACAACTTATAGCTAACTTTATAAATATCTATCTACTTATCAGGTCATAACTAACTGACTGACTAACGCAGTCAGATTTCTACTTTACAACATAATATTTATCTAATGGCCGATGATGGTGCAGGGTGCTGGTGGTGGGGGTAAGAGGCATATGGATCGTCCCCTAATCGGAAAGGTTGTTGTCGATCACCGGCTCCTCCTGCCACATGTCAAAGTATCCTTGAGCAAGATACTGAACCCCGAATTGTTAATGTGTATGAATGAGTTAGTTTCTGTTCGATTCACTAAGTGAATGTGTGTGAAAGGGTGAATGTGCCATGTAAAGTGTAAAAGCGCTTTGAGTGGTCGGAAGACTAGAAAGGCGCTATACAAGTACAGGTCCATTTACCATATGATCTATAGATTATTTGAGAAACAAAATGCCATAAATCAGATTCATTAACCTTTACTGTGTTTTACAGTTGTTCCAGTATCAGAAAATCCTGATACTGCCTAAAATGCAGAAATCTACGAGTGTGTACCGATCCAATACCACATCATTCATTAGCCTCAAAACCAGGCCAGGCCTTACAATCACAGCAATTCGTAGGTTATGCTTGTTTAAAAAAAAAAAACCCAACATGTATGGGATTGTTACTTGCATTAGTTGATAACGAAAGTTAAGGTTTCGGGAAGGAAAAAAAAAAAAAAAGATATTGGAACATCTCTTTTTTGGCAAGTGAATTCCACCCAACTGTAACATATAGAAAAATGACCTACTGCAGCTTCAACGCAAGTAGCTTAAGTTAATGGCATGTATGAACCTGTGTCTGGAGCTACTCGGACAATGAAGTCACGCTTTGTTACTAAGACTGAACACTGGCTGTTCTTAAAGAAACTGAAGCACCGTTTATTCCACAAAGTCCAACAATTCACATTCTTTGACACCAGTAGAAAAAAAATGTACGTCAATTGTCTGAGTGAACGTTAATCTGGATGAAACATGAAAAAGTAAATACATTTATATGTACAGACAGACGGAAATCACTGTACACACACACAGACTCCGTAATACACAGTTTAGTGAGAAAACAGGATCAGTTTTCTATTTTCCATTTTCTTACTCTCAAAAATAATGCACTTCCAAGCTGCGCTCCAGCCTGTGTCAGTCTGTATAAAGGTAGTTTCACACGTAACCAGATCTCTGGTTATAAAACTCCACGTACATTCCAACCATGACAGGAGACATGGAGAGAATGGGAAGATTCAAGATAAATCTTTTTAAACAAATATTCTGTCATTTTGGAAAAATGTTTGTTTGTAGTCTTGCAGAGAAGATTCAGCAAGTGGAGGTCTTTAGGAGCTCTGGCACCCAAAGGAGACGTCTCCAAAGTACTGACACGGCTGCTGGTTGGGTCAGCTAACTCCAGGTTTGGTCAGCTAACTCCAGGTTTGGTGCTTTTCAGGATTTGAGGAACATGATACGCAAAGTTGTGCTGTAACGAGGTGCTCCTGTCAGTCTATGCGCTGGATGAGCTTCTCCTCCATCATACAGTACAGGGCGACGTGGGACAGGTCCGAGATGAAGGCGTCGCAGGCTCGCCTGCTGACGCCCTTGCAGCCTCTGAGGTCCAGCAGGGTCAGGGAGGAGAGACGCTTCAGGTAGGACAGACAGCCATCTGTCAGCTCGCTGCAACCTGGACACAGACGCAGAGACACGGCAAATCAAACACTTTTCCTTTATATCATATCTATAACGTATACTTTTAGTATTTTCTGTGTATATGCAAGGGTCGGACTCCGTATTGGCAGATATTTAAAGGACTCGGATCATGATGGGGTCAGGAAAACTCGACTGGGATGTCCTTATCAATTATAACTAATCATATAAACTATAGGGCCGACACCTTGTTTGGTTGATGTGTTACTTTGATAAGAGAAAAGGCGTCTTAATGCATTATTTTTAGGGGGGGATATGCAGAACTGACATATGTCCATGTACACTATATTGTTAGAAACAACATTGATTATGTAAGAAATAGTCAAACTGCCCTAATACTAAATATTTTAGTGGACAGTTCATCAGACTGAATACTTTTGCTGACATCACTTTTTGTACTTTTAGAACATGCTTGTTACTGTACAAAGTAAATAAGTGATTAAAACAATCAGTACTGACAGTTCATAAAGACAGCTCTTTGTAATGACTTCTGAACCTAAGGAACCACTCCTCAGCCAGGCATCGTAAAGAGAAGCCCTGACTGGAGGAGAAACCCAAACTGGGTTGTAACCTAGATGAAGGGCCACGTGATCGATCGGATGGATCGGGACCGTGCTCGGACACCCACCCGCCAGCGTGAGCTCAGTCAGGTTGTTGCGGGTGTGAGTCCCGGCCGCCGCCAGCAGGGCGATGGACGAGTCGGTTATTTCCTTGCAGTGAGCCAGGTCCAGCCTCTCCAGCTGGGGCATGTGGCGCTGCAGCAGCCTCAGAGTGGACTCGCTGATGTCCAGACCGGACAGACGCAGCGTCACCATATTTCTCAGTCTGCTGCGAGACGACTCGGAACCTGCGGGGACGGACAAACATGGAAGACATGGAAAGGTCAATATGGAGGTTTTTAGTGAACCCAGCGGCGCGGTGCAGATCGCCCATGATATAGATGATGTGATCAGCCGTCGCCCCGGTTACCCAGTGTTTTAATGGAGACACTGGGTGAAGACTGGCAGGAACATGATGGAGTTATTATCTTACAGAGGAGTTTTAATTGACCCATGATTAATTGTGGAGCCGTGTGAACCGTTTTTAGTGATTTACAGTAGAAGTAGACAACTCTGATACACACATTTACACAAATGTTTCTGTGGTTATTCTGCAACATTGTGATGCTGGTTGCACAACATTCAGTGTACGGTGTACAGTGAGCTCATTTCTGCTGCAACTGACCAGGCGGGATGATTAGCTCTTTAATCTGGGCGTCTTTAAGGCCTTCACACCAGCGCAGATCCAGCAGCCGCAGGTAGGGCAAAGTGGGAGAGACCAACGCTGACAGACAGGACCAGGACAGACCGGTCACCCTCAGCTCCCTCAGACCTGCGCACACGCACACGCACACACACACACACACACAATGTAAAGATATATCGCAATTCAAATATGTGAAGGCTCAAATCGGTCAGATGAAACAATATAACTCATGGTATCAAGGCACAAAGAAATCAGTTTCACGTTTACAAAGAAATATTCATTGTTTTGCACAGTTTATACCCTAGAAATACCCTAGTGTGTGTGTGTGTGTGTGTATGTATACACACACCTGGGAGCCTGGTGAGCAGACAGTTGAGTTGTCTCTTGGCCAAAGGGGTCCAGGACAGGTCTAGAGAGGTGGGCTGGCGCTTGAGGATGCCTGCCAGGGCCTGGTTAGTGAGTGGGCTGCACCGGCTCACGTCCACGTGGCTCCACAGACGCTTGTCGCAACTCCTGCACAGGACAGTGAGGCATGATGGGTTTTTATTGAGCGGACAATTGAGAGCTGGACTCGACAAATACAAATATGTACTGTACGTTGAGAAGTTGTTAGCAGCGTTGAAGTGTGTGACGTACCACTTGTACCAGGCCTTGCAGACGGTCATGCAGGCCAGCAGCTCGGCTCTGTTCAGGTATTTGAACACGGACACCCACACCTCCTTCTCCCCTCCTCTCTCGTTGCCCACGTCCTTAAAGGACGGCAGAGACAGCAGGGACGGGGGAGACAGAGAGGAGGGTGCGGCCGGAGCGGCGGCTTCGCCCTCCTCTGAAGAAGATGCAGAGTGATCTCTAGCACTTCTGTCGCCATGGTTACCCCGCAGGCGTGGCCTAGAGGATCAAAGATATCAAATGGTGTGTTGGGTTTATGAAGTGCATCACATGCATATTAGGGATGGACGTTTAAAGCAAAAACACTTTATATTTACTGGGAACTATTCAAGCATTCTGACATTACATAACTAAATATTAATATTGTCATATGACATTTTGGATTGGTTGATTCTCAAAAAGACAGGTCTCTGCCATGCAGCCTGCATGAGGGCAGACCTCAAACATATTTTTGGCACATCTGTACTGCAGCTTCTGGTTATTTATCAGGTGACATGCTGTATACACGATACATCTGCAATAGTATCGGCCAGTGTTGTTACCTTTGTACTAAACTATGATCACAAAAACACAGTACTGGACATATTTAATCTGTCACTTACATCCCCAAATAGTCCTGATACTTCTAACAGATGATAGTTTCAATGTTACACAGCAGGTTCATCAATTAAAATGACCCTGATAATGTAATTCTCTCATCACCTGTTGTGACCGGGCTGTTTGTTGGCTGCTTCGAAGTAAAAAAAGCAATTTGGGAGCTCATGGTGTCCTGAGCAGAGGATGACATCACTCCCTCTGCCTGTATTGCTATGGCAGCCTCTCTGTGGTTTGTTTGAAAATCTGGCCACGCGTGCGTCATGAGTCTAAATGTCTAAATAATCCATGTGTCTCAACTGGCACTAGGCCTAAAGAACTAAATAAGAAGATAGCAGCAGCAGTACAGGTGTATTAAACTGAATTTGACACGTGTTGAGCTCTACCTGCCGGGTCCTCTGGGGGTCATGCCGTCGCCTGAGGCGTCGGCGCTTTTGAGTCGCGAAGGTTTGGACAGAGCGGTCTTTCTCTGGATGAAGCCCTGCTGACCGCCAGCACCCATTGCGGTGGTCCTCGGACCCATGGCCGCTTCCAGCTTTGGGACAATGGAGCCTGAGCGGCGACAACACTTACGGTTCATTAACGGAACTTTGGATGTTAATCTGATTACGCTGTACCTGCTGGGAGTTGTAGTCTTACCAGATTGTCTCTTGGCCTTGTGGGGGCGCTGTAGAGTGACAGTCAGGTAGGAGCCGCTCAGCAGGTCGTCGTTCAGATCAGACACCAGGAGGACCGGAGGTTCTGGGTCTGAATCCCAGCGCCCTTCCTCCTCCGCCTCCTCCTCCTCCTCCTCCTCCTCTTCATCCTCCAGCGTGTCCATCTCCTCGTCTTCGGGGTCAAACTCCTGCCCCTCGCTGTCCTCGTCTTCGTCGTCATCGGTCCTGTGCCTCCTCCTGCGATGGCGATGCCGCTGATCTTCGCTGTCCTCTTCTTCCTCCTCCTCCTCCTCTTCTTCGTCGTCTTCATCGTCGTCGTCGTCATCATCGTCGTCCGACTCCTCGGAATCGTCTCCCCTCCGCTGCATCCTGGAGCCCCCCCGCAGCCTCACCCCTCGTCCCCTCCGTCCGACCTCCCTCATGCCCATCCCTCGCTTCAGCTTGAGGGCGGAGGAGGAGCCGGGAGTCATGAGGCCTCCTCTGCTTCCCCTGTGGGCCGAGCCTCCTCTCAGCAGGCCTCTCCTGTTGGCGCCGAAGCCCCTCCTGGAAGAGTGGCTCCCCCCTCGGGCGTGGAGCACCATCCTTCTTCTCTGAGAGGCTGAGGAGAGGGATGGGTGGACGGGGCAGACGAGCAGGTCACAATCACAACGAGAGAAATTCTATTCCTTTTTTCCCCCCCTTTTTAGAAAAACATTTTATTTAATGTTTTTGTGATCTGGTGGGTTTCAAACCTTCGTCGTCGTCGTCGCTTGCAGAGTCGTCCCCGTCGCGGCTGTGTCTCTGTCGTCGGTAAATCTTAGCCATGCGTGCGTCCAGCAGGGTGGAAGATTTTCGCTTCTGGATGTGCAGGGAAAGAAGGAAAAGGAGGGGAAAATGGAGGGAAGGTAGAAAGAAGAATAAAAAGATGGAAACAAAGAAGGATAACACGGGGAGAGAGAGGTATGGAGAAAAACAGACACAAAAAGGAAGTTTTAGAAATATTAATTGTGTTCAGAAATTAACTCGAGTTTTTAAAATAGAGAGTGCACGTAACACTCACCACTGGAAGGCCTTCTCCTTTGTCTCCTTTACACTGCTGGAGGAAGAGGAAACATATTGACAAACTGACTACTAAATGTGACAAAAATAAAAAAGCCTGCTGCCAGTTCTTCTGACACTTTAAGCTCTGCATTAATAGACATTTTTGAAGGATGATAAAAACATTGACAGAAATAAACCATTTCTAAGCCCATAAACAAAAGTGTTTTGTGGAAAAGCCTCGTATCACGAAACACTATAAAGTCTCCACTGAAAGCCAGCATAGTTTCTGTCGTTCACCCAGAACTGAAGGTCTTGCTATTATGTACTCGCACTCATCAAGTGTAGTTGCAGAAACATTAAATATACAGTGCTGCTCAGACGTTTGTGTGTGAATGGTCAGTCCGCCCAGCTTTCCCCAGTCTATTCCCATGTGCCGTTACCACTCTTCCTAAGGTCGTCTGACAGTTACTTTCCTCTCACCTGGGGCTGCACGATGTGGTAAAAACATCAGAATGCAAATATTTTGACAGATATTGTGATGGGACTCACAATTATTGTGTGTTATCATTTTTGCATCACAAATGTAATTTTCAATCTGTTTCAGTGCTGCCCAGTTTCTTCCCTAGCTCTCATTTCAGTGGTTCATGTAGCCAACAGTTTTGTGCCACTTATTTGCATTTACTTGCTTGTTTTAAGCAACGCAGCTCAGGATTCATTAACTTTTGCCTCTACAAGTTGGCAAAAACAAACTGAATTGATAAACATACACCTGTTATTTGATGTAACAAACACTAGTTTGGTTTAAAATAAAGAAATAATGATGAAACAATAGAGAAGTTCACAGACGTTCAAGCAGAACTGTAGTTACAGTTGTGTTGAGCATCACGAAACGGGGTGAAGGGAGTAAACATTAAATGATAGCGTTTCCTTGAGTATCATCATGCTTATACGTGTACCAAACATAAAAGAGTCTAATAACTAGACCTTTACTAGCCCAGTGTTCAGAACTTCAAACACACTGTTCCAAAAGTCAAACATTTAACTGGATAGGATTAACTTCAGAATGGGAAAGTAAATCATTAGAACTCATCATATTTTTAAATACTTTTCACTTGGAAATAAGATGGACCCTGAAACAAAAGTAGCTTTCAAGTTGTCCAGTTTGAACATAAAACAGAGCTACAACCGCATACTGAAGAGAATATTCACTGTGTTTCTGTTAGTGATATTTCATGTTTGTGTAGGAGACAAAACTTTGAGTGAATTATCTTTAAAAAGGATCAAACGATATGTTGTTGTTTTTTCAGAGCAATACAGATATTGATTATTAATAATTAAGGAAACTGATAACTGATACTTGGAACTGGTGTACTTTTTGCAGTAAAAATGAAAATCTGAATAAAGTGGTGGAAAGAGAAGGCTTAATTGCACATCCCTTTATTGGTGGCACAAAGCACTGCCACCTACTATACATTGATGGCAAGACAGCTTAATGAAAGTGTATTTAATGAAAGAAAATTACATGTAAGGGCAGATCTGTTTTCAAACCGGTGGCCAAACTTTTAGTAGTTCTTTTTTCTTCTATTTTTTTTCATTACATGACAAGGTAGCTGTGCATGATTAAAATGTGCACAAGTATAAATAAATAAAATATAAATAATTTAAAAAATGTATAAAGGAGGTGGAGTGTAACTAAGTACATTTACTCAAGTATTGTACACAAGTAATTTTTAAGGCACTTGCACAGCAGCCTTTAGTGTTGATTGGCTTTTACTTGTGATGTGTAACCAATCAGAGCTGTCCAAATATCTGCATCTTAATTAGAAACAAGGGAATGACTGGGTGACGTATGGCTCAACATTTTGCGCAAGAAACCAAAATTATTGGTCAAATCTTTGGAAAAACATGTTTGTAAGATTGGTTGACCACAAATTAAAATTTCACTGAAAAGAAAAAACATTAAAAACATGATATTGAGTTCTGTACCAAACAAACATGTTCTTCTAAATCTGGAGAACAAGATTTGTTGGACAGGACATCTCTTCAGAACTACAGTATTTCAATAATATTTCAAGAAAGTCATACAGACACCACGCGGTAACTGCAGTGATGTAAAAACCAGTGAACGGGAGGGACAGTGCACAACAGCAGCTCATCCAGGCATTCAAACTGAAAGTGGAGAGAAGAGGACCACTGAACACTGCAGAAGGGGAGACTCCAGTAGCACACTGATACACTTTTAAAAGGTGCTGAAATCCACTACAGCATATATGCTGTGTCCACGGTCACAAAATCACAGCAGCACTCTTCAAGGTTTGAGTGCGACCCAAACCTGAAGAAAAGGGTGGTGGTTTTGTCAGACAGGGTTTAAAAGCACGCTACACTATGTCCATAAAATGAGCCATGTGAAAAATCATTTACAAGTATGATAAGGGAAAATTGGACAGAAACCAATCAGAGCTGAAAGCAGCTCCAAAATGAAAAGAGCTGACAGTCTAAGAGAAGAGGCACTACTCTTGTAGAAACCATGGAAACAGAAATCAAACAGTAACTCAAATAGGAAATCATCCTCTGCCAGTAAGATTATTGGAATAGGAATATTTACATCAAGAGTTGTGTCTGTTCTCTTGAAAAAGATGGAAGGGGAAAACTGGGTGGGGTGCACGCGACAGACGGGTGGAAGTACGCAGAGTAGGCGGCACCTCTCACCAGTCTCGAGCTGATTGGCTGAGAAGGCAGAGGGGCCGCCACCAATAGAAGTGACGCTGAGGAGGAGGAAGAGCAGCAAGGAAGAGGAGGAGGAGGGAAGAAACCACAGCGGACCACTTCCCCATCATGCTGGGAGCCCACAGGACCCCCTATGGTAGCAGAGGGCCCGGGGCCCAGCCTGAGGACCAGGGGGCCGTGAGGACGGATGTGCTGCTGGTGGCCGGCAGCCAACGACTCATCGCTGCCTGATGACTGACGGAGTCAAATTAAATTCAAAGAAAACAGAAAATAAAGCAACCAAACAACAAATAAATAAATAATGAAAAACGAACAGACAGGAGACACACAATACCAATTAGCTTTGACACTGCAACCAAGTGTGTGAACGCCGGGTTCAAAGACTGTGCTCGAGAGAGCACAATAGTGTGTGTGTGCAGCAGTGTATTCTATACAAGAAGTCTGAAACTGTGTGTGCGTGTGTGTGTTAATAAGACATTGTGTACCTCTGGGTCAATGATGCCTTGAACACACTTTGGACACTCCCAACAACTGGGCAGGTCTTTATTCACCAGTCCTTCTCCCTGAACCTGCAGGGACAGATGCAGCCATGTTAAAAAAAGGATGAAATAACATAACAACATAATAACATCAGGATTGAGTGTCTGCAGTTCAAAATCTAATAACACTGGGACAGTACAGTGTCCCAATGTTATTTTAATCATTTTATTTACAGCCTGAATTAAGCACACTTGAGTGTCAGAAATTAGTTCAGGTGTGTGTGTGTGTGTGTGTGTGTGTGTGTATTACCGTGAGGCAAGCAGGATGGACTATCTGCGCACAGTTGGAGCATTCCATCAGAGTGAGGGAGGAGTCTCCCGTTTCCTCCTGATTGGGCTCCTTGCAGATCTCACACACTGCAGACAGAGGAAGGCCCGGCTGGAGGGGACAGAGGGGGAGTTACAAAACACACATATCCAAAATAAAAAAAATAACTAAATAAATAACGGTTACTTACAGACATACACTGTCGTAGTACACAGGTCTGCTTGAGCTTCCCTGGTCCTCCGAACTTCTTCATGTCTCTGCAGAAGTTACAGTCCCCGCACTCTGGCCTCATACAGGCTTCACAGCGCTTACACCTGCAGAGACGACAAATAAATCATACAACTGCACAAAAAGCTTACAACGGTATACAACTGGCCAAAGTT